AGGCGCTGGGCCACTGGATGCGGTGGGTTGAGAAGCGCATCTTGAGTGCGCCACAGCTGACGTAGGCTGGCCCTCCCTCACACTTGCATGCGCCACTAGAATCTGCTGGGAACAATTAACTGCATCATGCGGTAAATAATACAATGGCTTTTTTCAAAAGAAAGTTTTTATGCTAGAAGAGTTTGGGGAGAATGTTTCTCTCTGAATTGCCCAAAGGACCTGAATGGAAGGAAGGCTACTGATAAGATACGGACTATTAGAGGTTATCACAATAACTGAGGGCCCATGTTAATTTCCTTGGATTTATTCATATGGGAACAAAGCATCATATGCCTATTTTAGTACAAAGGAGGCTGCGATTTTGGCATGGCAGCCCGTAATAGATGCCCACCTCCGCTCCCCTGCTCCCCTGAAAGTGTGACTCTAAATGGTTAGGCTGATTTCATTCCCGAGAGAGCTTCCACAAAGCCAGTCACCAGAAATAAGTATACAGCTTGCAGATGAGATACTTCCATTCATTATATTTTATAAATACTATCGAATCTCCTCCCACTGATCGAAACAGGGGACCTGCTCCCTGAGACAAGAAGAAAGCACAACACACAGCTTGTGCTCTCTTCTCGTGGCTTGTGCTGAAAGTGCTACTCCAAAGCGAAGGGTCTAACACAGCCTAGATGTGGAACTGTGCGATCTTATCCTCAGAAGGCCCCCCACCGAGTTCGATGAGACCGACCTCCAGGCAAGCGCTGGAAGGTTGCAGCTAAAGCCTGCAGGCCTGAAGAGCAATGCAGAAGTGCCTTTGGAGCAGCTTTGCAGATATGTCCATAAAAGCCGGCAGCGACTCGCACTGGCCCATTGCTTGCGTGTGCCGAGATTAGTCATGCTTGGCATATGGAAAGCTTGCAAGAAAGAAAGATTTCTCTTTGGACTTGCAAAGGTGCCACAGGACACAACAGGACATAGAAACATAGAAAACAGAGCGAGTCAGAAGGGGTCTCCCAGGCCATCTAGACTGACCTCCGGCACCAGCCGGCTCTGCTCACGACATGCCCACCATGTGGACGTCCAGCCTATCCTTGAACACCCGCACCGATGGGGCCTCAATGACCTCCCATGGAAGCCCATTCCACACCCTCTGGGTCCTGACTGTCAGGAAGTGCTTCCTGGCATCCAAATGGGACCTTGGCTCCCTGAGCTTGGCTCCGTTGGGGCGCGTCCTGCCTTCTTCTGCAGGGGAGAACAGGTCTCTGCCCATCTGCATGTGACATCCCCTCACATACCTGTATCAGGACTGCTATTCTGAGCCGTCTCCATGCGGGGCACAAGTGTCAGGCATGCCAAGTCAGCACGTATCCAACATCCACAGAAGCCTCCACATGGAAACAGCCTCGTCCTGATGCTCCAAGATGACTCTTTCTAGGCCACTCCTTTTCTTCCTTTCTGCACGTCTTTCATGTCTAATTCTGTCTCTTGGTCTGGGGCACAGAGGGTCAGTTGCAATTCAACCAAACCCAGCAACACATTTTCCCATGCTCCACCACTCGGTCTGCAGGTGAGGGATGGGCTGTCTGGATGGTCCACGCCCACACGTGCCGATAGGCTGCTTCCTGGGCATGTCAGAAAGAAGGGCCAGCAAAGCTCCCATGTCCAGATTTATGCCATCGCAGGGAACCGCTCTTGGATTCTTGGCTTCTGCAGGCAACCAAATTCTTGGGCTCTCACGCACCTGCTTTAGTGCCTTGTCAAACAGAAAACTCGGGAAGATCCAAACTGGACTTGCCCTCTCCCTGCGCCAGAACAAGCAAAGCCCGTACAAGCAACCATTGGTGGGTGATTTGCTTTGTAACGGGAGCCGTTTGGCTTGTGATCTGGCGTTCTCATAGTCCTGTCCATGCTAATGTCCCTTTCATGCAGTGAATGCCTTCCAGAAGCACCAGCAAACGAGTCCATGTAGATACTGAGATGCCAGGAGATTTCTGGAAATCTTGACGATCGCTAGCTCTCCTAAAACCAGCATCTCAAGTCACAGCTGGTCGCCAACTATTTTCTGTACCTCAAATTTTTGTGAGGTTGCAGGGAGAATATAGCCTGCTCTGGTATTACTGATATGTGTACGTTTTTCCTACTTGATGCCTGTTTTCCTGTTTTAGACCCCTGTTTTCTTGCTCTCTCCTTACTGCATAAGAGTCCAGCTCACCCAAGTACAAAGTCCTGAAATGTTTGTTCTCAACAGAGCGTTATGACACAGCAGATGTCGATGTAAAGTCTATTTTAAGCTGCATTATCTTAGGTGATAAAATACAACAGATGCATATACATATATAATTAAGCAAGTATTTAGAGGAGACAGATGTGCACGGCATAATAGCTAATACAGGTTAAACATCCTGCTGCCAACCTGATGTTTTGGACTACACCTTCCATAATCCCTGACTACTGACCATGCATATTGGAGCTGATCAGAATCATAGTCCAAAACATCTGGAAGACACCTGGCTGCCAAGCCCTGGTCTAATATTTGCATCTATATCTCTATAGCTATGTATTCACACACTCAGACAGAACTTCAAGACTTGGATTTTCAGCAGGAAGACAAACATTTCTTTGTCTTCTAAGCAATTAATAACCCTTTGTGTCCTTGTATGTTTGCGGAGCACCAATGTCAGTTTGTAAATAATAAATAACAGTCAGTGATGATAAGAAATAACATAATGGTGGAATTCGATGCCACTTTTGACCACTGGTACGTGAAAGCGGGGGGACGGTCGTCAATGCAGGGTTGCCGCTTTTGTACCTAGGCAGGAGTCGCATCCCTTTAAGCACTTCAGCATGTGAACAAAGCACTGAAACTCCCGGCCTTCCTCCTTCCTCTCCTCATTTTGCACTTTGCCGGGCAGGAAGGACCTGGGCAGGTGGAACGCAATGCAGCTGACCCTGCCCGGCTTAGCCAGCTCGGCAAGATTTAGAGGGCATATTAAGAGGGCAAAGCAACGGGAGGAAGCGGCCACTGTTTCCTTCTCGGCCTTGTATGATCTTTGCCCAGTCTTTATGCAAACCAGAAATGGATATTGCTTCTGTGACAGCGGAAGCAACAGGGGAGGCGAACTGGAATGATAATCTGGTGACGAGAACGCCATGCAAAGAGCGCCATCGCCCTGACTCACCGAACCACGGCTGGGCTCTGCAGCCGCCGGCTGCGTGGTCCCTTTGCATCCGCAGGACAAGACTGCCGAGCCGACTGGCCTTTCGGGGGCCCTGCTGCGGCAAAAGAGGATGTGGCCTTGGTTTTGCTCCTCACTCTCTCCCCACCGCTTTGTCCACTCACATGGATGGGGAAAATAGGAATGTGCCAAGAGGCGGGGAGTGGGTGGGTGGAAGGCAGAGGGGACACCCGACGTGGGATCCTTCCGCTTTTTTGCTTCTGTGCTGCTCTTAAGAGAGGCTGGCATGAACTTTGGGTGGCTGCCCATCCCATCCCATCCCACCCCATCCCAGTGTATGCAACACAAGATAATCCGCAATTGAGTGATGGGCTCACCCCTAGCTACTTAGTAGAGAATCTCCAAGCCCATGTGGCTGGCAATTCCCGGAGCTTCCCTCAGTGAACAAAAGCGGTGTTCTCCTAGGCAAAACACATCACCGCCTCCAATCCCTGGATCCCCTTTCGGGAGTTCAGGGCCCCAGAGCACTGGTCCATTTCTTCAAAAGCAGAACTAGCTAGATCCATCGAGGAGCAGGAGTCCAACCTGACCTTGGAGGCGTTCCGACAGCTTTGACCTTTTACCCTGTACTATGAAACGTGCTTTCCGGGTTCCCGGCCATGGGCGGCCCTTCTGCAGAGCAACTCGAGGAAGTCCCTTCAGGCAGCAGGTCCATTTTCTCCAGTTACATCTGAACATCTCACATTTTAAAACATCATCACAAAATCTTTACAGTGAAGTGTAGGGGAAGGTAAAGAAACATTTACCTTGCTTGAAATGCGTGAATATCCAATAAATACACACTTTTTGCCATTTGTGCTTTATGTAGAGGGACAAGTGAGGAACTTTGAAGGGTGGGGGGCCATCTCCAGGTCACATGTGTACAAATTTGTGGAAAGGGGTGGTGGGCTGTGCCAGGCTGTTTTAACCTAGGGGCCAGTCCAAGTCCCGTAGGTTAAACCACGGCTGCGCTTTCTCATGGTCTCAGCCCCCAAAGCATTGTCTTGGTGACAGTGCAAAGGCAGAGGAAGGAAGATCACTGGCGCCTCCTGTCAGAAGGGCCCAGACTTGAACTCACAGCCTTCTTGTTTGCCAGTGGGGTGTCCTTTCGACTGCACTGCAGCATCCCAAGAAGGTGCTTCTGGTCTTCCCCTCTTGGCTCCGAATGCTTCCAGGCCAGACCGGGAGGGAGTTCTGGCCCTGCCTCTCTTCTGCAACAGCCACCTGCTTTCCAGCACCCAGAGTCTCATGTCCCTCCCCACCTTTGACTCTGGCCAATGAGGAACGGCACTAATTTGGGCTGTCCTTTCTACAAGGCAATTTGGACTTCTGGACAGTCGCTATGGAACCTTTGGGAAAAGCCAGCCCCTCTCTAACCTGGGAGGTATGTGGTCTGCTCTGGGCCTGCTTTGGTTGCCACTGTCAGCATCGGCAACGATTTACGGACTTGCCTGGGGTAGTTGAAGGTTGGGATCCCTGGCTTTGCATGGGGTGGATTCAGCATACGATGCAGGCCATGGGCTCTTTCCTTGAAAGGAGGATCAGCCACCAGGGAGGGGGGGTGGGGGTTGCTGCTGTGGGTGTTACAGCAAAAAAGGAAAAGACAGGCACACGCATGCGTGCCGAGACGTGTGCTGCGGAATGTCTCACACAGCATGCGTTCCACCCTCTCCATGCGTCTCCCATGCCCCCTCACACTCGACTGCCATCGCTACACCAATGAATTCAAGTTCACGTATGGAAATGGGTGTGACCTGGTGCAGGGAGCTCAGGGGGTCTAAGGTGGAGACCCTCCCGTCTCTAGCTGAGCCTCCTCTGGGTTTGAGACAGCAGGTCTGTGTAAATTTTGGACCTCAGGAACCTGGGGTAAGAGTCTTTTTCCATGAGGCTGTGAACCTTCCCCTGGGCCTGGTCAAAGCTCGATGGAGAAGGGTCCTGGATGTTCTTCCTCGTCATCTCCCGAGTCTGGAAGTCAATGTTCACCTGCAGGGGAGAAAACAGGAACAGATTTAAGGGGGGGGGATGCCGATCCCCACCCATGTACCTTTTCCCCTAAAGACAGCATTTTACAGAATCAGTGCTTTTGAGCTGGAAAATGCAGACCTCAGTACTTTTGACTCAGCGCCATGCTTGTGGCCATGCAGAATTTAAGCGATCACTGCCAATTTTTTGTTTTTTTATTTTTTTAAGAACATGTTGGCATCAGTGTAACCAAAGGATGAGAGATGGGATGAAGTGAGGTGGGTTTGGGGGCAGAACCAGGGTGGAACTCGGTGGGACCAGTTCAGAACCTGGCCCAACATGGAAGGGGAGAGCTGGGAGAGGGTCAGAGATTAGGTCGTATTGCTGAAGAATCTAGGTGGGGTGAGAAATATACTGACTTTCCAGGTTCTGGTACTGATCATCAGACACAATCATCAGATCAATAAAGAGGGAAGGCAACGTTCGCACCAACATCTTGGCCTAGAACCGCAAATTAAATTCTGAGTCATCTGGGACTGCCAACCTGTACTGCAGTACCCAGCCCTTCTGGACCCATGGGCAGAGTGGGGATTTGAGAAGCTCCACAAAATGGCTCCCACGATGGGTGTGGCTAGTCATACGATAGCTGTCTTGGGGGCAGGTTGGACAAAAGTGAGCCGGAGAAGAGGAGGCTCCGAGGGGATATGTTGGCAACATTTAGGAATGTGAGGGGGTCTCACACAGAGGTGGGTAGAGACCTGGTCTCTGCTGCGGAGGAGGGCAGGACATGCTCCAATGGAGCCAAGCTCAGGGAACCAAGGCTCCATTTGGATGCCAGGAAGCACTTCCTGACAGTCAGGACCCCGAGGGTGTGGAATGGGCTTCCACGGGAGGTGGTTGAGGCCCCATCGGTGCGGGTGTTCAAAGATAGGCTGGACATGCACATGGTGGGCATGTTGTGAGCGGAGCTGGCTGGAGCTGGGGGTCAGACTAGATGGCCCGGGAGACCCCTTCTGACTCGCTCTGTTCCTATGAGCTGAAGAAGAGTTGGCATAGGAAAAGAGATGGTGAGACTAGAAGCTGGGAGAGAGTGGGGGGAGGGGAGTCAAGAGTAGAGGCAAGAAAGGCAGAGGAGGAATGCCACTATAACATTTCCCAACATTTTTATTTTAAAAAATATTTGGGGACGGTGTCAGGTGATGGAAAACCTCAGGAGTGCTTCTGGAAGTCCCTGCAGACTTTGATAAGGCACGGAGGACCTGTTACCTGCTCTTAAGCATGTCTAGGTAGAAGAAAGAGCAGCTCCACTCAGTGGGGCTTCCTTGGAAATAATTCCCCCACAGCAAAGGACAGACCTCTGTTAACAAATCACCCTTCCCCAAACTTGGTGGCCTCCAGATCTGTTCAATGACACCTCCCATCATTCCCAGCCAGCCTAACCTCTCGGGGCGCTTGCACATCAATGTATTCTTCAAAAATCCGGTGGGCCTTGGAAGCCAGCTTGCCAGAGGATCGCGTCTTCTTGAACTCCTCACAGGCCAGCCAGAATTCCAGGTTCTCTTCGCTGAATTCTGTCTTCAGGAAAGCACGAAATGCAGCCACTCCGTCTGATTAAAGAAAGCAGTCATTTCAGGGCCGAGAGGAGGTGCCGTTTGCTATTTGTGCATTTTCCGCAGCCCCCCAGCTAAAAACTAGGGTGGGACGCAGCTGTCTTTGCAGCGCTATCCCAAAAGGCCGAATGTATTTTCTAAACGATTCATCATATGCGGCGTTAATTGTTAATTGTTAGTTGTATTTTTGTATTATGTTTATTTATTTATGTGAGCCGTCCCGAGGCTATAAGCGATGGGACGGCATACAAAACCTCTAAATAGATAGATAGATAAATAAATAAATAGATGAACAGTTTTAAAATAATAGCAAGGACAACCGTGCAAAGAACCATCTGTTCGGGCATTCTGGAGAGAAGGTTTTCAGGTTCGTAGGCTCGTGGTGAGAGAAATGAGCTGCACTGGCTTATTTGCCACTGCGTGAGTCAGTCATATGCCGGGGGAACTGCCCGATTCCTCTTGCAGGCCTGGCTTGCTGTACTGACTGGATCTGGACACCGAAGGAAGCCATTATGGCAGCTGCTTTGCAAGCTCAACGGCTTCCCGCAGGGCAACAAGCCCCTGTGACACCCCAGGCTTCCTTTCAAAAAGGGATCTTGACAGCCTAATCAAGTTTTAAACAGGGCAAAGGCAGGCATGCAATATGCATGAAACCCCTGACGAGTGCTGTCAAACCCCCCATGTTAAACAGAGCCTGAGTTTTGACAGCTGTCAAAACTCTGTGCTTCTGACTCACACGGTCCCCCTTTCCTGAGCATCCAAAGCAGGGTGGCCCAACTTTTCATACCTCAAGGGCACAAGAGAACTTGGACAGGAAAACCAGCAGCCACACAACGGATTGCATTTCCATATCATGAATTAAAGCATGTGCAATATATTTATCTAATTTAATATACACAATTAATATATTTAATTAACCATTGAGTAATTAATGGCACAATTATCGCTCCTCTTGCTGGCTTCTTCCCTGATTCTCCAGCCCAGGAATCCTCCCACATGACCCCCCCCACCCAGCCCCTCCTTCCTTCTAGGAATTGGCACACTGAGAGCCTCTTGTTCTTGAGCCAACAAAATCACCACAGAATTTTTTCAATTCTGACATAGAAAAGTATCTATACTTGGCATTATGGTAAGAGGAGAACTTGAGAAGTTTCCTTCAGCCTGATTCTCTATTCTTCTTCACAGTTTTTCCTCTCAACACTGCATATGTTGGATTTCTGATTTCTTTTGAGATTCTGTGAGTACTTTTAATATATGCATTAACAGAGTTTTAATATTCTGTGTATGTGAGTACTGCTGAAACTCAGTGGCGAGTGCTTTATTTTTTTCTGAGACATGATATGAGTTTTCTCTATGCTTTATGTTGACATTCAATCCATTGCAATCCAAAGTCTGCAGTTTGCATTTTCAGAGAGAAAGACAAAGCAGTTGTGCACATTTCTAAAATCTCAGACTTGGGCAATGTGGAAACCGGAACAGCATTGGTTAGCCTTCTCCAACCTTGCACTTCCCAAATGTATTGGACTACAGCTCCCATTATCCAAAGCCCACATGGCCACTGGGATTGGAAATGATGGGACCTGCAGTCCAACACACTTAGAGCACACCCAGCTAGGGAATTCTGGTGCAGAGGAGCAAGTCTCTGACTTCCCGAGGGGAACCAAGAACCGAGCGATGACACTGCCTTATCAGAAGTCCAGTCTTTGGTTTTTCCAGTCCCACAGCCTTTACTGGCCTCCCTCTGGGAACTTTCTGTTGAATTTCGCAATCACAGCATATACAGCATTTCGTCACAAGCGCGCCGGATTTCCCAGCCCTTCTTTCACACCCACTGCTTTTCAGCATCCTTCCAGCCATCCTCTGGTTTTCCTGACAGGGAGCGCTTGCCAGAGAACGTGAGCAGCTGAGCAAAGACCCTGATGAAAAAGAGCTTTCTCGTGATGGATCCACTGAGAAAGGCCCCTTTGACCCCTAGTAGAAGTCAAGGGGCAGGACCAGGCAGACCTGCTCAGACCTCTGACTGCCTTCCTGCTCTCGGTTCACTCAGAGTCGCATACGGAAAACACAGTGCACCCACGGACGAAAGCTTGGCAGCAGCTGCTGTTTACATGCCCCCTGCTCTTCTCTTTCTCTGTCCATGACCCTCTAATTCCATGTCTAGCTAATGGCCCTGTGTTGTATTTCCCGTCACACAAGCAGACACAAGAAAGCAGGAAACGACCGGCCTTGGCTGCAACCCTCCCTCCTCTCCAGTCACATCCATTAATCCCAAATGTTCTGCCATGTGGCCTTGCCCTGTGAAATGGCGGGGGGGGGGGGGGGGGCGGGGAGAGACTCACAGTGCAGAGTTGGATATTGCAACACCTGCTTTGTATTACAGACATTATGTATACAGATATTCCTATAGCACAGAGCCCAAATATCCAGACCAGCAATTTTGGGGAATTTACCCTGTGTGTCTGTATTTGCATGTGAAAAATGCGCATATACCCCTCAGGATCGGATTAATGTTGGGTTAGCAAGCAAATTGTGGAAATGCTTGACATAAAAACATACAAACAGAGTGAGTCAGAAGGGGTCTCCTGGGCCATCTAGTCTGACCCCTGGCTCCAGGCGGCTCCGCTCATGACATGCCCACCATGTGCATGTCCAGCCTTGACTACGGGGTGGGCAACCAAATCGGCATTGCTGTCACTTCAAGTGGCTTCTGGGCTGCCCTGGCTACATTGCCCGAACGGAACATGCCTGCGGAATGAGAGAATTGGCCACACTGTGGCGCAATTTCCAGGGGGATTTTGTCCCAGGAATGTGACTGGAGACGCCAAGCCTTCCATAGAAGGGCAGGAAGGCTTTTGCTATCAAAAAGGAAATGTGGCCACTTTGTTTTAAAGGTCTGATCAAAGCTGCTATACTTTGCCCACCTCTCTGAGCTATACCAGATATTGACCTTCTCCTCTCACAGGGGACAAACAGTCCCCCAAAGAATTAGAAACACAGAAACAGAGCAAGTCAGAAGGGACCTCCTGGGTCATCTAGTCTGACCTCCAGCTCCAGCCGGCTCTTGAACACCCTCACCGACGGGGCTCCAACCACCTCCTGTGGAAGCCCACTCCATACCCTCGGGGTCCTAACTGTCAGGAAGTGCTTGAACCTTGGTTCCTTGAGCTGGGCTCTGTTGGAGTACGTCCTGCCCTCCTCTGCAGGGGAGAACAGGTCTCCACCCACCTCCACGTGACACCCTCTCACATACCTGTGTGTCGCCAACAGATCCCCTCGGAGTCTCCTCCTCTCCAGGCTCCAGTTCCCTCAAATGAGCAGCTGCTCTGCTCAGCTGGAGTATTTTGCAACATCTGTATCGTCCTCTATCAATCTATCTGACTTTTCCCATGCTTATTCCTCCTTATTTATCTCCCCCCTCATAAACTCCATCCCTCTGCATACATTCCCATATTCTTTTCATGTGGCAAGAATCACATGACATGAACACTCACGAAATATGTGGGGCTGGGAGCTTTTCAATCATTAAACCACATATCTACTTTCAGTTTCATCACAAAATTGAGATTCAAGTGCTACTCAAAAGGTTTTTGCTTTCCCTGCTTTCCCATTGCATAACCTTTAGGGGGCACTGTGGTACAGCACAAATGCATAACTGAAAAAAGTAGTGCCTTTCACATTCAGAATTAAATACCACATTTAATACTCTGCTACCTTCCAGGGAAAATTTTGTCTCTTTAGATATAGAGAGTCAAGCATAAGTTACAGAACTGGTAAATTACGATGCGTCGGAAGTGACAAGTGCTTGATAAATACCTCGTGCAGAAGAGCCCAAGGTAGCCTTTATTCATTACACTGTTTAGACTACACAGTAAGTTTTCTGCGCAGTATAAAGTAAATTTATACTAAATAAATAACTATATAGAACTAATATAACTAATACTATATAACTAATATAACTAATATACTATAGTTATACTATAGTTATACTATACTACACTATACTATACTATAGTTATACTATAGTTATATTATACTATTATTTATTTATTTATTTATTTATTAAAACATTTCTATGCCGCCCCTTGCCGAAGCCTCGGGGCGGCTTACAACACAATAAAATACAATAAAATACAAAATTAACAATATGAAATTAAAATTAACAATATAAAATAAATAAACAATATACTAGCTATACTATATAACTATATAACTAATATAACTATACTAGTTATATTAAAAGCTAATATAAAATTACAATAAATAAGAAAACAACACAAAGCAAAATTAGCAGTGGGGGTCAAAAACAGTGCAGTGCATAAAATTCAAAAAGAGAACATCTGGACTGAATAAAATTGTGCAAAGATCTAGAAGTGCTTAAATAGTTCTTAAAATGCCTAGGAAAATAGAAAACAAAAATAGAAAGGTAGGATGCCAAGCAAGCCTCTCTGGGGCAGACTTTCCACAGTGGGTTTAGCTTCCCATGCTGCACCTCCCTTTTGGTTAGAAACCCTTTTCCTCCACCTCTGAATTATCTTATTTTGAAAACTCTATGATAAAACAGGGGCATACACCTGAATTCTAAACAAGACATGCCATAGATATGTTGGCACAATCCATTTTCAAGGGCTAAGTGCTTCTAGTTAGATTTGGCTTGTCAACCAGCCAGTACTTTAAAAAATGGAATAGCTTTTTGACTTTCCAATGACATTGGCAGTGCTTAGAGGATGTTTCTTGAATCTTGGCAGCAGCACAAAACCGACGCAGTTGGGACTTCAAAAAAATGATCGGCATAATGGGAATTTCCATCAGTTTTGGAGGGAAGATGGAATGAGTTTTCAGTAATGGATGAGTGATGTTGGGGAGAAAAAGCAGAATTGCCAAAAGGGTATAGAATTCACACACACACACACTGCCTGGAAAGCCAGAAAGATATGTGGCTGGAAGGGAAAATCTTCCCACCATGAACCTAAGCAATTGCAAGCATGTTTTTCCCCTGT